TAAATTAAATTATTAAAATATAAATATATGATAAATTAAAATATAATGAACCAAGTTATATAAAATTAACCAAACGAAAATATAAAAATAACTTATTATATTAAACAAAAACAAAATAATAAAAATAAATTATAAATAAATTAAAAAACCAAAGTTAAAATAATAATATTTATTAAATTATATTTAGATTATTTTTATATTTTATTATTTGTTGTAATTTATATTATTTTATTGCATTGTTCATTTTATATTATCTTAGTTAGCAAACTTTATTTATTTTGTTTATCTTAAGATAATGTAATCAAATTATGTTAAATTTTAATAATAAAATTGGAAATTAAATTATTTTTTAAAAAATAAATCATTTACTAAAAAATTATAATTTATTTCAATTTTTTTAGTGATATTGTATGTTAGAGTAAATTATATTACACGTATTTGCTAAATTGTGTTTTTTTTATTATATTATAATAATTTATAATTTTTATTTACTTTAATCTATTAATAACTTATTTGATTTATTATATTATTTTACTTTACAATTTTTATACTTTATTATCTTATAATATTTTTATTTTATTTTTATTTAGGGGTGGCTCGTCCACGTCGTGTGATGTCTTAGTGCTCGCTTAGGCTTCGGCCTCTTATATTATACCAAAAAAAAAAAAAAAAACTTATAAATTTATTTAATTTTAATTGATGTTACTATATTAAATTTTATCTTACTTTATTTTAATTTAATTGTTACATTATTTTTATGTTAATTTAATTTATTTCAAGTTATTATTATTATTATTATTAATTATTTAATTTATATTTAGTTACCTTTTAGATTTTTATTTATTTTATTTACTTTAATTTATTATAACATAATAACTTATCTGATTTATTATATTATTTTACTTTACAATTTTTATACTTTATTATCTTATAATATTTTTAGTTTAATTGTATTTATTTTATATTTAATTTTATTATCATTGTTTTTCATTTCAAAATTTATATAGTTAAATTATTTTAGTAATTAAAAATTATAAATTTATTTATCTTTAATTCGTGCTACTATATATTAAATTTTATTTTACTTTATTTTAATTTAATTGTTTCATTATTTTTATGTTAATTTACTTTATTTCAAATTATTATTATTAATAGTTATTTAATTTATATTAATTTACATATCAGATTTTTATTTATTTTATTTTATTTATTTTTATTTTATTTAATCATTTTCGTATTATATTATAAATATATGTGTGTTCAATAGATAACACAACATTCATGTAGCCCAGTGGCTTTGTTGGCATGCTCTCTCTTGGG